GGAAATGACAAGAGTTTCATTTTTACCTAATTCAACCTCCTGATGGCTGTGTCATTTTTTACTTTACTGAAATGGTGTCATGAAGGTAAGGAATTTATAACCCTTTATTGACATCAACGTCATAAAATCCAAGTAATTAAAGGAACTGTAATTCCTATCACCATCCTAGAGTCTCCTGCTTTAAAATAAATCTCATCTCTGAATACATTTCCGGTAATAAACCCACAGCCAGAGGAGCGCTCAGATTTACAACATCTGGGGCGATTTCTCCCTCAACATGAAAGATTTTTTTTTTTTAATAGATAACTGTTTTTCTCTGGTGCTCTGGTGAGATTAATTAACTGAGGCAATGTGTTGAACACATATTTAAGTAACCAAAAATCTATGTGTGTGTGAGAAAGCTTGGCCTCGTTCAAATCCACCTCAGTCCCTGAAGAGTGGAGTTCAAAGCAGGCTTTACTTCATCAGTTTCATAAGATGAAAACTTGAAACTATCAGCGTGGGAAAGTGCAGATTTTTTACTGATATGATGTGAAAGCATGTTTCCTTTGCATGTGCTCCTTTAGACCTAATGTGAGGACAGCAGACTTCTGTGTGTCCAAAAAAACATTTATGAAAAACAGCGTAGTGAATGAAGTGTTCCTCAGCGGTATATCCAAATCTTTCGGCTGTAAATGGCCACATGCTGAACTGACAACCTGCTGCAGATAATTATAAAATGGATTATGTTTGAAAAGCACTGCAGCGGAATGTCATTTTTATCCATAAGACCTTTAAAAACAGACATTTAAGTGATGGATGGATAAAGAGAAATGGTGGGAGCAGCGAGCGAAAGGAGGCTGTAATGTTGCTAATCAGTCAATCAGAGCAGAATGTTTCCTTCCATCTCATACGATGAAAACCTGCAGGGTCATTGTGTGTAAATGGCTGTAACCTGCTGCTTCTCTATAATTTACTAAAGGAAACTTCAGAGTCCTGCCTGCTCTTAGAGTATAAAATCTGACTGATCGATCCAACAGTTAATGTGTTTTGAAAAACACAAATCATTAATTATTTTAGTGGATTTCCTGAAGCACAACAGAGGAGCTGTAAAGAGAATATTAAAGTTGTGTTTTCCATCATGCTGGTGATAATCTAACAATTGTACTTTGTGTTACCGTCTTTGGACATAAAGTACGCTGGAATGTGTTTTCATTCAACGTCGGAACAATCTTTTTTTTTTTTAATTTCACAAGCAGAGTGATTCAAAAAGCAGAAAAAGCCTTTTAGAAGTTGATTTCTTGTCAAAGAGAAAAGAACCAAGGAAACATCCTTTTGATGGCATTTTGTTTCTGTCATTGACATTTTTCAGTTTGAGTTAGATGTGAGTGGGACGTAACGTGTTCTGAAATGTTCACAAAGTTTTAAAATGTGAGGCATTACAGCTTGAAAAAACAACAAGTGACTACTGGTTGATATTTTCCTGTACACACCGTCATAGCCAAGAATACTAATTTTGTATGAAAAATGGCATTTTGTCATAAAACTGAAAGATTGTTACACGTGTAATATTCTTGCAGGGTGTCTACAGGCAGCAGACATTAAAATGTAATGGTTTTAAAGACCTTTTTAAGATTTTCTTAACCAAATTTAAGACTGATTTTATAAATTAATCAAGTACTGCCAGTTTTATGTATGTAGTCCCATGCAGAGGGTAGGTTTTATGATGGAATATAGTTACTAGAGCGAGCTTGTTCAATCTTCATTTTGCCAACTGGTTCAAAGATTTGTGACAAACGAAACTGAAATTAGTTGACAGATAATTAAATAAGATACGATGTTTGTGGCAATTGAGACCTCACAAATTCAAACTTAGGACTATTTGATGTCTTTTAAGGCTTACTATTTATTGAAATTAAATTTAAAACATCTTAAGACTCTTTAAGGACCCTGCCTCGCTGAAGTCCACCACTGAGAGCAGAAGTTGAACTGACCAGCGAGCTGAACACTACCATATTATTGTGTTTTAAAGCAGCAGCAGCAGCAGCAGCAGCAGAGCAGGCCACTGCAGCGTTTATCAGGTGGTAGTTACACGCTACATTTCCTGAGTGATGCTGTCGCGTCCCAGCCTGCAGCGGCAGACCGCTGAGGGCTCGGAGGAGCTCGGCCACCCAGGCAGCAAGCTGGTGAGCTGTTGATGAAGTGAGGGGTCACTGCGAGGCTAAGTGAGACCTCACACTGGACAAGCAGGCCAGACCTCGGGCCACGGTGGCATATGGGTGTGAAGGAGGTGAGGAAGCTGAGGAGGGTGCGGGGGGTGCGGGGTGGCCAAGCTGTCCACTCGGCCTCTCATGAGACCCCCAGCTGTCACAACAGACACTTACCAGCCCTCACACTAAACACCCACCAGGGAGAGGGGGGGCAGCATCCTTCCTCTTTCAAACAGAAGGACGGAAAAGAGGAAGGATGGAGGGGCAAAGAGAGAAGGTAATCTCTCCTTCCTGCTGCTGTGATGTCTGAGGAACGCTGGGATCTGCCCCCGCCACTGTCCCCCTGCCACTTCTAAAGCCAGCCTGCAAACCTGCTAATTATAGCCACTAAAGGATGAAGGTGTGACCTAAATAGTTATTTTAAGTCTGGAGCAGACTTGTGAGAATCACAGCTCAGAGAGAAAGAGAGGGAGGAGATGGAGCCACAGCAGGACAGAGGAAGTTCTAACCTCGACCGTCACACAAAACATGAAGCTGCAGAGCAGGCGAGCCGAGGTCAGACTGCAAGACTGTTCAGATACTGTAAGACAACAGCAGTTTAGTCTGAACTACCCCGCTTTCTTTCTACTGGACTACAGCAGATATGAATCGAGCGAAGTGAAGGCATCACGCAGATGAGAATAAAGGATCATTAAGAACTAATGTTGTCAAACTGTAATTTCTAACTTTCTTACAAAACTCAATATTCAGTACCACTTTTGATGCCACAAGGAAAAACTGACAGCGAGGGCATAAAATTTAAATTTGTATTAACAGATAAATATCACAACTTTCCTATTTCTTGGTTAGTAGCAGAGAACAGCAGAACATTAACAATAAGAGAGAGTAAGAAAGTGCAGCTGGTATCTGAGCATCAGACGAAACAGCGCATTTTCCATTACAGCCCGACAGCTGTGAATCTGTTGTGTGTCTAGTTTCTATCCTTCTTTTATCAATTTTAATGTTTATTTTTATTACACGCTCTGATTTATCTGGTCTTAGCCTATATTCAATGTTTTTATTGCTATTATTGTATTGATGGTGTACACTATTTTTTTAATCTCATAAAGCACTTTGTAACCGTGTTTTGAAAAGTGCTATACAAATAAAACGTATTATTGTTATTATCAATACTGCGGAAAATCAGCATTGAAACTGTTTCAAATATTCAGAATAGATATGTAATGATAAATCAATATTTCTGACCACACTAATTATGTTTTGGCAAACTACCAGCCGAAGTCTTTGATGACTTCTGCTGCAGAGAAACGATTAGTCAATTAATCAATTAAATAGGCATTAGAGTGTCAAATCAGCAATTTTGAATATGAGTATTGATTTATTTTGGCCAGAACAGCCAGAAAGCCTCAGTCAGAATAAGTTTAGATTTATTTTATTTATAGGACAAAGTACATTAATCAACATTTCTGTGAATGTCCCCGTGTTAGCCAGCTGGCTAATTTTCAACTGCAGTCCTTTGGCAAGATGTTTTGACACCAATAAAAGGACAAAGACAGCCTAAAGACATAAAGTGTGCGATCTTAAGACAATATCTTACAGTCTTGAGACAATATTTCTGAGTGTTTTAAATACTAAAACAATAGTGAAATTAATTCCTGGATGGACATAACTTTTCCAGCTCTACTTCCTGTAATACAAATTGTAAAAAATGTAGGAACCTGGGCAGAATGAAGACGGCTGGATGTACTCCAGGTTTCATGTAATGCTGTGAGGACAATGTACATTGTACTTTAGATGAGTTAAGTGGTAAATTTTAACAATAGCATGACTTATTTATCTCACTCATTTTATGTTTTGTGTATCCCATGTTCAAGTCTGTGTGTTTTTTGTTTTACCTGCCTGCACGATCAATTCCCCTCCAGGGAAATTTAAGTTAAAGTTAAAAGTTAATTAGTAAAACTAGGAGAAAAATCATAGTTTCCTTTAAACAGAAACATTTATCTTGTGGAAGATAGGCAGCTGTAAAACCCTCAACTGCTGTTCATCTGTGGGGAAAAAAAGTATAGCAATTTCTTGTGATAAAGGTGTAAAATACTGTATGCTGGTATTGCTTTTAAAACATATAAGCATATGTATATGAAACACTGCCTCCCAAACAGTAAAAAAAGCCACAAAACTATTGTTAAGTGCTCTAAGATATAAAACCTATAGTTTACCCCAGAAATCAAATTTGAAATGGCACTAATTCATAAACACAGTTACCATTCCTAACAGTATAGTGTATAAAACTTTGACTGCATCAGAACTTGCATGTCCAGCAGTGATCTCAGGAGAGTTTCCTTCCATAATGACAACAAGTACCTTCCCTGCACAAACACTTCTCACTCCCACCTGCCTCTGTTTGTTGAATACACGCTGCTTACACCATTCCTCGACCCCCCCGCGTTCCTTCCACACCTGAGAGCCTATTGACAGAGTGTCCCGGTACCACGCGTATCACTTAACCCCGTGTCAAAACACAGGTGTAACGTAAGCCCAGGGAGCAGGTGAAGGTCCTGAGCTCATAAAGGAATGTGCGAGCTGGGAATAGCACCCTGCATGTAAGAGAGGCCCCTCGCTGAGAGCAGAGTACAGAGTTACTGCAGGGAGGGGAGCTGGAAAACAGCCAGACACTGACAGAGGGGAAGGCACACCTTCACCTCAGGGAACCACAACACAACCTGACAGAAATGTGACTCAGCGGTTATGGAAGACAGAAAGTGATGAGAGTCGTTTTGGGATGGAGGACAAAAGGAAGGTTGGTGCTCTTACCATGGCGCCCCGTATATCCGGAATCCCTTTATGGTGACGTCCGAGTCCTGCAGGTACACACAGTTTGTGAGGAGCGACTGGACATTGTCAAAGTCCTCTGGTTTCAGTTTGGAGACTGAGGGGAATCGGTAGTAATCCTGCTTGACCAGCTCGGCCATAAAGTCCTTATCAAAGGTCAGCTCATGGTTTCCAGCGATCACCACCTTAAACTCGTACGGGAGGCCCCCTAGAAGAGACAAGATGGGGAGAGGGTGGTGAGCTGAAGTCATATCCACATGTTAAGCTATAGCCTGCGTCACTTTCTTTTTAGAAGAAGAAATGTCCTCCTCTCTAACATTCTCTAATATCTCTGACCTGAAAGAAACCATTTGTTGTATATGTAAGTTTATGGCATATCAGGAACAACCACTCCACCAATATGTAGCTGATAATGACATTTTCTGTGCACAAGCTGACTGACGTGACAAATAGAACTGAACTGAGGATGCTGCAGTTACATGGCACGAGTCTGGACTCCCAGGATGATGAATAGGCTTGGGCAGTATCACAGTATACCACAGTATTAAGAAATCCAGATGGTATGATTTTCAATACTGTCAAAAATACAGATGCTCATCTTTCTAATATCCTCATACTGGAGAGGCTGTAATGAGGATGTCATGTTGTTCATCAATACCACCATATATCATATACACCTGTGAAATTTCCAGAAGGTATGAAGGTATGTAAAAGTCGTTATCACCCAAGCCTAATGACCAGTACCAAACTTTTTGAGCAACACATTTTTCCTCAAAATGTTTTTTTTCCAGAGTTAGTCAGCTGGTGAAACCATTAACACAGCATTTTACATTTGAGTGACATCATTATAAACTGGATATCATCTGCAGTATCAAAGTTGCACAAACCAACATAGGTGCAGATGAATAAGCTGTGGACAATGCTAACGAGCGAAATAAAAAACAGAGGTGAAAAACCAGAAGGTGAGTGGCTGCTTCAATAAACTATCAAACTGATTGGTTCACGAGTTTTGCAAAGATCTTGTCCTGCGTCCTTTACTTCAGTTTCCCTGTCAGGGCTGCATAAGGTACTACCTATTTATTATTATTGCGTATATTGCTTTTGAAATACAAGCATTTAGTTCATTCATATTGAGAAAGTTAAAATCTGTTAGTTTTGTTGAAAAAAGGACAAATAAAGATTTTGACCAACTCAGCATTCCTTAAAAATACAGGCTTTTACTTAGAATTGTTTGACAGAAACAGGCTATAAATTGTTGCTTATTAAAAGTATTTCTGAATCTATATTTTTACATAATGTTACTGCAATTTGTCAGCAAATAAGTAAAGGACATTATTGACTGTGCATCGTATCTGCAGAATATTTGCTTCTGAGGTTGTTAAATTTGATTAACAAAATTTCATTTCAAATTTGATTTATTTCAAGTGATTCTTTACGCCGAATAAATTCTTCACACACTGCATGTTTTGTCCAGATCTTGCAGCTCTGCTCTCCTTCGAGGCACAACAGTATTTTATAAAATCACAAAGGGGTTGTACTTCCCACCTGGTTGGTCTATTTCTACAGAAACAGCAGGTTGTCCTAATGTTTTGTACACGGAGCAAACACTCCTCAGCAGCTCCCTGTATACCTAACCTGGAGCACAGATCAGGACTGGATAGAAAACTCAGATAAGTGGAGGGGAAAAATACCCTCAATTCAGACAGTCAGAGAGGTCACTACCACAGCTGACAGCTCTGCTTGACCCCGACAGACCACGGTCTGTCTCTGCAGACACCGGGCAGCAGGAAAAAGCATGAACCTGAACTAAATAAAGAAGAACATCTATTACAATTCTCATCCCCTCATCTTTCAACTTCGGCTGTGCCCTTTTCTCTCTCCTCTGTCGGGGTGATTTGTCCCGGTTTCCCCTTTGCCATCAAGAAACTGACTTACTACTTTATTCCAGCAGATTGAGCACTCAACGAATGGCTCTGGCCTTCATCACCCTCCATTCTTTCTCTGTATTTCTCCCCTTCATTGTTTCTTTTTTTCAGGCTTTCAGTCCTCTTTCCATCCTTTTTTAGCCTGCTCTGTAGCTTCTGTATTAACTGATCTACCCTATGTGAAGAGTAAACTTAACCACAGCATGCCCCAGTTGCAGCACCCCAAACCCAGGTGATGAAATTTATAGTAAGGCTGCACCTAATTGTTACAACAACCAATTAGTCTGCTGAATACTTTCTTGATTGACTTATTAATTGTTTGGTTTATAAAATGTTAGACAACAGGGTAGCCTAAAGTGCTTGTTTTGTCCGACCAACGATCCAAAACCCAGAGATCTTTTATTCTTTATCAAATAAGGCAAAGAAAAACAACAAGACTCACAAATGAGAGTTTGAAACTTGGGAACAACTGGCACATTAACTTGAAAAATGACTTAAATGATGGATCAACAATTAAAATACTATTCAATTATTTTTCTGTCGAGCGATGAATTGATTAATCAATTTAATTGAGCGCTAAGTAATACTTTATGTAGTTTCCCATAATTTTTTGTCCGTGTTTATCTGCTGTGGCTGAAAGGTTCTGGCCAGAATTTACACAAAACACTCAAATGCTTTATTTTCAACCAACAGCAGCACTTTAAAAGCGTTTGACATGAGTGATGACTCTGTGCTATGCTAATGAATTCATCCTGACTACTAAAGTACATACTGTCATATTGTTTGGCTGACGTAACGTCATGTAGTGTTTTCAAGCTGTGATTTACTAATATATTTTGCAACTCATATTTTGTACTCCGTCTGTAAACATACCACGTGCGTACCACTGTCTGACCTTAGCAGGATGAATGTGCAGTGCTGGGTAACCAGAGTTACTTTAGCTGCTTATAATTATGCAATCCACCTTTTTTGCATTGGATAAAACTGCAAAATTGCAATAAAAATCTTTATCTGTACAGCCAATGACTTTATGTAGTCTTGTGAATACTGCAGCTGAAGCAGCTGATAATACCACTGTGATTTGCAGGTGTAAAGACGTTGGGGCGTCTGATTCTATGGAGTGGAATCTTAGGGCGCATTCACACCAGGATAGTCCAGGGGACTCGGTTTGATTGGGCGGGGAATGCCGAAAAATTTCACACGTTCATTTGGTACAGTTCACTTTCACACTGCACTTTTTAAAGCGGACCAAACTGCCTGGACAAAGTCAGTTACAACAGCTGCTGGTTTGGAGGCAGTATTGCCCGAAACGACCACTGACCAGGAAGAAAAAAAGCATGAGGAAGAAGAAAACCCGGCTCATTGATTGGCCAGGACTGAAAACAGAAATCCATCCCCTTCAGCCAGCTTGGTCACCAAAATGCATTGTGTTCTACGTCACTTCCTCTCGGATAGTCCGTTTGCATTTCACACTGTTACCGAACCGCACCAGGGTTCACTTGCAAGTGAACCGAGACCCCCAGTTTTCAGGGACCAGGGATCGCTCGTTTGGTCCGTACCAGAGTTTGAATGAATGTTCACACCACTCCAAACAAACCAAACTATCTGTGGAAGTGGACCAGGGTTTGGTTAAAGATGATGATAAAGATTGATTGATTACATGTCTCCATCAAGCCCCCAGAAACAGCAGCGGGCTTTGAAGCCAATTTTATATAGTGGCCAAACATGGAATTACAACTTCCAGATCAGTCACATAATGTCATGGAGTCCATTAGACTTACATTGTGAAGGAGATGTCTGTAAATCAGTGAATACTTTTACTTGAGCACCACAACCCCTCAAAATGACTCCATTCACAATCAGAATTTAACCTATTTAGTCTGTTAGCATTTCGGATTTCTAGGAGAGCCACACAATCTAATCATTATTTCTTTTCAAGATAGTGAAAGACTGAACTGGAAGTTAGCTGCTTGGCAGCACTCGGCTGCTGTAAGCCTCTAGCTTGCTTTATCTATGGGCCTCACAATGTGGAAGATGTCTGTAATTTAATACGAAGTTTTTGGCTTCATGTAGCACTGAGCAACCTTCACAGGAATGAAGTAGAGCCTGCCTCCTACACTGTATCAAGATCTCTTTGTACATCCATTGTCTCCACTTTTCTCACCGTACAAAAATGAAGCAAAAAATTCCTGCATACCAGCACTGCCATCTCGCACTGGTGATGTCATTAGTAGCCACAATCAGCACAGTAGCAATCAGGAAGTGAAGCTGCAGTATTGAGTTTCCACCCATGCACCCACCTGACCCAATCTTGAACAGCACCATTGATCCCAAGCTCACTGATTGGCACACCCAACTGTCAATATGATGTCACACCCCCTTTAATGGCATCAAATAACTAACTGAGACCAAACTCAGAAACACAAACACTTAAACAAACTTCACTGCGATAAGAACTATATAAAATGACAGAAACCATCTTTAGGAAAAAATTTATTTTATGTGTACTTAGATTTTTTTAGTTAGCATTTGCTAACATGGAAGGGCAGGGTTTATGACCTATACTGCTGCCAGCCACCAGGGGGTGAACAAAAGGTTTTGGCTTCGATTTTGGGGAGCTGTCATGTTGTCTATCTTTATATGCAGTAATTGAGCTGCATTTAGGTGGAAAATTACAGATTAGAGGTCGAGATTACACATATTGTTTGCATATATCCTTTGCAACTGCATTTCAGAAGCTATATTTCAATGTTCAACAGGTTTCATAGGATCTCCTAGACATTCATCAATAACAAAAAACTACAAAAACACCATGCAACAGAGAAATCCTTAACATGCACTACATGATTATTATAGATTTACAGTGAGATGCCAACATCCACCAGCAACACAGAGTTTGATTGACAGGAAGGTATTTGCTCTGGCAACATTAGCTGATACCGCTCTATTGTAAAACGTTTTTGTCCTCTGCTCCATATTGCTCTGGCCAGGCATATCAGACGGTTATGACTGAATTGAATAAAATGTTGAATAAAGAATCCAATAAAACTTATTTGCTGAATAAAAAAGCTTTGGATTCATGACAGTAAGTGAAAGAAAAGATGGAAGCTCACTGCTCAATTTTGCAGCGGTCAAGTTCCCAATTGGAAATAAAGATAATAGAAACTGAATAGAATACAAATTCAATCAGGATATGCTGGCTCAATGCAGGTAGATAAAAAATTCCACTGCATCTGTCTCTGTGTGTGTGTCAGTGTGTGTGAGTGTGTGTGGGAGAGAAAGA